GCGACAACGAAGAAGGCCATGACGGGCAGCACGGCGCCGTTCATGGTCATGGAGACGGACGGACATCTTGTCCAGCGGGATGCCGCCGAAGAGCACCTTCCCATCACACAGAACCACTGACCTTGCTCCTGAGCAGCAACGATGAAAAACGCCATAACCGGAAGCACGGCACCGTTCATGGTCATGGAGACGGACATCTTGTCGAGCGGGATGCCCCCGAAGAGCACCTTCATGTCCTCCACGCTGTCCACTGCCACGCCCGCCATGCCCACGTCTCCCACCACGCGCGGGTGATCGGAGTCATAACTGTAGGAATGGGGGAATGCGAGGGGGGAATGGGGGGGCATGGGGAGTAAGGGAGGAGCGAAGAGCACCTTCATGTCCTCCACACTGTCCACCGCCACCCCCGCCATGCCCACGTCGCCCACCACGCGCGGATGGTCCGAGTCGTAGCTGTTTGGGGGTGGGGGCATGGGGGGACGGATTCATTCATAGTGCGTCTTGTTCATGGAGGGATGCCCCCGACCAGCACCTTCATATCCTCCGCGCTGTCCACCGCCACTCCCGCCATGCCCCCGCCCCCCACCACACGCGGGGGTGGTCCGAGTCGTACCTGATAGCACGCCAGAGGGGGGAAGGAACGGGAGAGGTGAGAAGAGGGAGGAGGGAGGCGAGGAGAGGGAGGAGGGACGCGAGGAGAGGGAGGAGGGACGCGAGGAGAGGGAGGAGGGACGCGAGGAGAGGGAGGAGGGACGCGAGGAGAGGGAGATTGTCGCGGGGTTTGAGGTGTCTCGCGAGGTGAGCCCCCTAGTTGAGAAGTCATTTGTTCAGCCAGTGCGCATGCAGCACACTCGAGGCAGTGTTTAGGACACCGTTAGACTGCCTCGTGCTCGAGTGTGCTGCATGAGGCAGTCTGACGGTGTCCTAAACACTCCCCCCTCCCCCCACCCCCAAATCTACCGCCACCTGTTCCCCTCCCCTCTTCTTTCCCCCTCACGCAGCCATTCTCCTTCCCCTCTTGTGTGCCGCTGCCACGCTCCCCCCTAATGCCATCCCGCCCCTCACGCCTGCCCCGTCACGTCGGCCTGTGCGCTCATCCGCGGTGCGTGGCGAGGGCGAACGCCACGGACAGCCGCTTCTGCCCCGCGAGATGACTTCAGAGTCAACTTGAAGGAGTAAAAAGAGTAAAGAACACTAAGAAGACTCAACGGTCACCCCCCGTGCGCTCACCCGCGGTGCGTGGCGAGGTCGAAGGCCACGGACAGACCCTTCTGCCCCGCCGCCAGATTCCGCCGGTAGAACGCGTTCGACTCCTCCGCCGTGCTGGCGGAACGCGGGGGGAGGGGGAGCGGGGAGGGGGAAGGGGCGGGGAGGGGGAATGGGAAAAGAGGAAAGGGGAAATGTGCAATGCGGTTGGAGAAGAGGAGGGACGCGTGGACGTGGCGTGAGTGGTAAGGCGGGAGAGGATCGCCCAGGCGATTACTGGAAGGGCGAGAGCGCGTGACGAAAGTGCGTGGTAGCATTGAGGGCAGCGCCTACTGCAGGCGAGCATCATGCAGATGGCGAAAAAATCTCGGGCGAAAAGGGCGACGAGAGGTTACCTGAAGCCGGCGTATTGGCGAATGGTCCAGGGGCGCTGCGTGTACATAGTTGCGTAGGGGCCGCGCGAGAATGGGAAGACGCCCGGCATCTCCGTCTTTGACTCCTCGGGCACGTCGGAGTAGGAATAGACCGGCTTGATCCAGATGCCCTGCGCGCCGAGCCGAGAGTGGGTTCACACGGACAGGAGTTCGCGAAGCAGGTTACAAACATCGTGCAAACGCGATCTAGAAAAAAGAAAGAAAGAAAGAAAAACTCGCATTCTAAGCCACGCAGGAATGCAGGAATGCGGCGACTGCAGGCGTGCGTGGACTGACCTCAGGCGAGAGTGTCTTGAGATCCTCAAACGCATCCCCGCCCTTGATCTCCTTGGACGCGCGCTTCGCCCACTCCGCCTGCACCGGCGTGAGCTCTGCCTTCGGCGCGTCGCCGTCCGCCGGCGGCGCGGAGCTCGACGAGCTGAACAGCCGCCCGCCGCTGCGCGGCGCTGCTGATGCTGCGGGCACCAGCGCGTCCACCCTGCACGCCGCGGCGGCCGCACGGCGCGCCTGATGTCAAAAGGATGAGGGAAGGGAAGGGAGTCACTGTCAGATCAAAGCCAGCACGAACCGCGCGTGAAAGAGGATCTGACCCGCTTTCCTCTCCCATTGAATATCCATGCTCTTCATTTTCCTCTGCATTCGTTAGCACGATAACATAGATTCTATATCGAAGAACGGAAGCTTCGAGGAAGCGTACCTGCGGGAAGAGCAGATGGCCTCGGGACATGATGAGCTGAGCCGCCTTTCCTCGAGCCATGGCGAGCAGACACAGACAGCAGCTGCTCGGTGTCAATCGGTGCGGATAGGTTCGCTGGCGATGGCAAGGGCTGACCTTGCAAGGTGGAGGTGACGGTGGAAGGTGGGAATGGGTAGGTCGTGGCTTGGAGGGTGAAAGGCAGGACTCAGGAGATATGCGGCGGATGCGTCCGGTGGGATGGCCGAGCGTCCTGAAGGTGGTCTGGTGTGGTGCAATCCCAAGAAACGCTACTGTTGCGTTTCTGGTGCTGTAGGGTGATGTCTTCTTGGTTGACGCAACTGTTGCACTGCTGCTGGTGAGGAGAGAGGAATGGTGGAGGGGAAGGGAGGGGAGAGGAGAGGAGCAGAGCAGAGCAGAGCCAGTTGCCTTGAGAGTTGTTCCCCGGGGCGAGGTCACGAGGTGGGGTGAGAGATCCCGACTGACGTGGCAAAACTTCCGGAGACTCCGCAGCCTGACGTGGGGCACACTCTTTTGCCTGGACGCTGTGAAAGTGCTGCCACGCTGGACGTTTCCGATTGCACGCGCCTTCATGCTGGCACCAAGATTTGAGGAACTCGAGATTCTGCCTCTGATTTTACGAGTCTGCTTTCGTCAACGGCAGCTCGACCACCGGTATGGGGTGCTTCGTCAGTGGCTCGGTGACTGCCTGGGCAGTTACTTGTTGCATTAGTAAGAGGCCTTACTTCTTGGATCTTATATAAATGCATGTGCATATCCCTTTCGTGCACATGCAATCGAATCACTTGTTCCATGATCTGTGTTCCTAACCAGAGGGATTCCCGGTATGAATATTATCTGTATTTCCAAGCTGGAAATTGAAAAAGTTCAGCCAGTATTCTGACCTTTAGCATTGGTGGTGGCCTTCATAAGCTGAATAAATTCTTGAGCCTCCTCAGCTGTGGAGAGCTGGAGGGTCCGTCCATGCAGTGAAGCCAACCCCGTGCCTTCAGCCGGAAGCTCCATGACTGAATGCCACAGTGCGCACAGCAGAGGGAAGCAGACGATCAGGCACTGGACAAATGAGCAATCGCTCATTGATAATGAATAGTGACTCACAGACAATCAGACAAGGTGGTCGGGAGATGAATGTACACACGTGCAAGCAGACCAACACGAGATGGAAACGGACGTGCAAATTGGCTTATGGAAGGACTGACAGGGCGTCACTCACCAACAACTGTGGAGGATCCACTGGCGTCCATGCTTGCAGCGTGAGCCTCACTAGCCCCTCCATCCACAGGGACGGGCGGCAGTGTTGTGGGCGGCAACATGGGTTGAGCTTGAATTGCATCAGTGGCAGGAGAGATGGAGGCAGCAGGATGTGGTGTTGACGCATGGCCTGATGCATTGCTCTCTTCTTCTGCTGCTACTGCTGTCTCAGTGGCACGTGCTGTATGCTCACTCCCTTCTGCTGCATGCTTGCTCCCACGCTGCACTTGTGATTCAATGGGTAACATGCTGCAGCAGCCAATCACGTCCCTTAGAGGCACCGCCCACGCCACCTGCCATTGGCTGGCTCTCTGGCTCCTGCTGTGCCGCCCCGCTGCTGCCACCCTCCACACGTGCAGCATGTGCGATGGTGTGACAATAACGAACGCCTCCTCTGGTGCCACTGGCGAGCCAGGCAATGACGATGCTGATACTGGTACCAATGCTGGTGCTGATGGTGCAGGGGCCACTTGGAAGCATGCCAGGGCATCCTGAGTGTGTGCGGGGAAGGGAATAGAACAGGCAAAAATAGACTGAGCATCGACAAGGTAATCAGCAGCTCTTATGATGCTGGGAAACAACTTTGTATGCAAGACCATGCCCCGTGTATCATCCCTCTCCGCCCCTCCCTTTCTCGCTTCCTTTCTCCCCCCCTTCCCTTCCACTCAGCCATTCCACGCATGAACTGACTCCCCTCACCTCATCTCGCCACGCCCCCCCTGCAGCCTCAGCCAGAGCAGCCTGAGCAGCAGCTTGGGAGTGGCAGTAGGGGGCGAGGGAGCGGCCTGTAAGAATTCCCAAATGTTTCTCACCCTTGTAGCACATGCACTCCCTCGCCCTCACCTCGTCTCGCCACGCCCCCCCTGCAGCCTCAGCCAGAGCAGCTTGAGCAGCGGCTTGGGAGTGGCAGTAGGGGGCGAGGGGGCGGCCTGGACTCAGCTGCCTTGGCAGGCGCAGCGGGTGCAGAGCCTGGGAGGGGCCAGGGGGACGCGCCACGTTGCGAATGCTCTCTGCTGTTTTTGCTGCTAGTGCCAGTGCCGATGCTGCTGGTCGTGCCACCACTCCCAACACTCCCTGCGTCAGACCTGGGAGGTGAGAGAAGGGTGGGGTTGGGTGGGAGATGGGAGAATCGTAGTGGTGGCGTTTGCATTGGGAGGAGAAGAGCAGGGGCATACCGCATGGGCGCCAAACAACCATTTGGAATGGAAACACCATGCATGCAAACAACGCGCTGGCAGAAATGAGGGCATTTAGGGCATTTCAGTAGAATACCGCACAGTGTGTGGTGCACTGGGTTGCGATGTGGTGCAGTGGGGTGTAGTGCGGTGGGATGTAGTGCAGTGCGTTACTGTGTGGTGCAGTGCGAAGTAGGTGGGCCAAGCAAGATATCTCACCAGATGCAAGGCCGGGGAGACCGCCCCTCTCCCAACCCCTGATTGGACGGTCCAAGAGGCCTGTCACGCCCTGCTCATGGAACGGTTAAATGCACATGGGATGTGGGAGAGGTGAGAGGTGAGCAGTGGGGAAGCTTTGGCTAGGAGCGTGCATCAAGGCCACAGTTTGCAGTGATAAGAGCACAGCATGCAGCGTGGTTGAGTCAGGTTGGGAAGGGGCAGTTGATGGGAGCAGCAGGGGGCAGGCACCTGTATAAGTGAGGCGAAGAAGGAGGCTTCGTCTGAGGCGTGAGGGGCCCATGCCTGCCCCGCCCGCTCCATGCCTTCCTTGTTCTCCTCGTCCCATGCCAATGATGCCATCCCCTGCCATGCCATGCCATGGCACGCCATGGAGACAGGAAGGAAACCAGAGGAAGATGGTGGGAAATGCAAAGATGGTGGAGAGATGGCAGGCAGGAAAACCGGGGAGAGAGCGTAGCAGAGAAGGAAGGCAAGCAGCCATGCCAGGAGAGTGCAGCAGTGCCACCACCCGTTGGCTTCTGCTGATTGGATTGTTACCTTGGAAGCGGCATGGGACATGCGGGAGGCGGAGTGCGAGAGAGCAAAGAAGGTGGTGCGCAGCAGGCCTTAGAGACGTCTCAAGGGAGGGATGAGGAGCATCACTAGCAGACCCGTGCGACAAAGTAACCTGAGAGTTATTGAACGGACGGATCGCACCTTGGAAGCGGCATGGGACATGCGGGAGGCGGAGTGTGAGAGAGCGAAGAGGGTGGTGCGCAGCAGACTCGTCCACCCTGCCCACACCCCCTTGGCGAACCCTGCCGGGCTCTGCAGGGCAATGAAAGAAGGACACAAAGCGCAAAGGAAGCTTCTTAAGGAGGAGAAAGGGAGTATAGTGCCAGGGTGATGGGCAGAAGTGAGCATGGTTAAAGAGGCATGATGATGGGCATATGGAAGATAAACGCAAGCAGTTGAAGGGGAAGCAATGGTGGAGCTATTTTTTGCAGCCCGCAGTATCTAAGCGAGTAAGGCATGAAAAGGGCAGGAGAAGGGCAAGATGGGAGAAGTGCAGGAGAGGGGCAGGAGAGGGGCAGAAGAAGGGCAGGAGAGGGGCAGAAGAAGGGCAGGAGAGGTGGTACCCGGCGCATGAGCAGTGTGTGGGTGGGCGAGGCGAGCAGGTCCCAGAGGCTGGCAGAGAGGGACGAGAGCAGCCCCACCGGGTTGCCCAGGAAGTCTGCCGATCCCACCACCTGCACGCAGGGCGGATGAATGGACGCAGGGGTATGGGTGATGGAAGAGGTGATGGAAGAGGTGATGGAAGAGGTGATGGAAGAGGTGATGGAAGAGGTGATGGAAGAGGCTTGAACAAGTTTTTCTTTGGAATGGAATAAGAGGCAATGAGTGGCCGCCTGAGCGTTGTGCTGCGAATAACTGCAACCCTTCCAAGACGCAGCATTTAGCTGTGGCTGGCAGGAGTGCCACCTTGCACAGCCTGCTCAGTGGCATTGCTACCTTGTATAGGCTCTCTCACTGGTCTCACCTTGTACAGCGCCTGCAGCAGCTGCAGCGTGTAGTGCCTCTCAAGCCTCGCTCCCAGCGACGCCGTTCCCCCGAAAAAATGCTCCAGCTGCCACGCGGACAGCCCCAGCGGCGCCCCCTGCACGTCCGCCAGAGACAGCACACTCCGCTGCACCACTGCTCCCAGCGCCCCCAACACCCCCTGCGCTGCCGCCCCCCTGCTCTGCTCCGCGGCCCATGGTGCACTGGCGAAGCTGATGGTGATGTGCATGGGGCGGACGGCCATGGTCTCTATGTACATGTTGGCCGTGCCTGGAATGTGGGGAGATGTGTTCATGCCGTGCCCGCCCACCACCCCCACCGCTGCCACTGATGCGCCACTGCACCAGATGTACACTCGCTGCATATGCTCCTGCCCCTGCTGCCCTCCCTCCTTTTTGTCCTCCTTATCTCCACCTCCCCTCCCTGCCTGTGCTCCAGCTACTCCCCTCACCCCCTCCCGTCCCTGCCCCCTTCCCCCGCCAGCATTTCCGGCTCTTCCTCTCTCCACAGCCTTGGTGCCGGAGGCAAGAGAGGGGGCATGGGGCGGAGAGGAAGGCGAAGGGTGGCCGAGTGCGGAGAGTGCAGCGATGCACGTGCAGGAGAAGTCCAGCAGGCGCAGCAGCAGATGCTCCTCGAGCTCTAGGGAGAGGGGGGCGAGGCTGGGGGGAGGGAGGGAGGGAGGGGGGCAGGAGAGCAGATACACATGAAGGATGAGGTTGGAAAGAGCATATATATATATATATATATTTTTTTTTTGCATTTCATGACACAAAAGGCGAGCAGGTGCAGCAGCAGATGCTCCTCGAGCTCCAGAGAGAGCGGGGCAAGGCTGGGCGGTGGGAGGGGTGGGGGCAGGAGGGAAGATACATGTAGAGGAGGTGGTTGCGAGAGGTTCAATGATGGAAAGAAAAGAGCAATGGAAGATGGAGGTGATGTGGAGCGGAGACAAGAAGTCATGGTAAGGATAGCAATGCCAGCATTCCTCCACCTGTTCCCCCCCACTGCCAGCACTCACCCGACCCTCACGCTCTCCACACAGAGTACAGAGCCCACTCTCTGCCGCCACGCCACCACCTCTGCTGCCACCGCCGCTTCCCCCCCTTGCAGGCTGGCTTGGCCCGGCGCTTGCAGGAGGGAATTGTGGGAAGGAGCTTCACGGTGGTGTTGGGCCGTGTGGTGGAAAACCGAGGAGAGCAGCAGGGAGGGCGATTGTAGTGCAGCTTGTAGCAGCGCGAGGCTTGGTGGGGTGTGGGATGGGTGGAGCATGGAGAAAGGGGAGGGTGAGGGTGAAGAGAAGGGTGATGGCGTGGAGTGAGTGAGGGAGAGAGGAGGAGGGGAGGAGGAGGCGAGGAGGATGGGGAAGAGGGCGTTGGGGAGTTGGTTGTCGAGTTGGAGGTGGGAGAGGAGGAAGGAGAGGGAGTGTTGGTGGGCGGAGCGGGAGAGGGAGATGGAGAGGCGATGTAGGGAGAGCAGTAGTAGCTCCTGAGGGCGAGCGTCTATAACGGAGAGTGCTATAAGGGGGATGCGCACACTCAGGAGAAATTCGAGTAGAGAGGAGGAGGAAGACTGGGGCACGGTGGGGGATTTGGAGGAGAGACTCCACGATTGGCGGTGCTGACTGGGTGCCAGCTCAGCGTGACGTGGCATGGTGGAGTGGTTGAGACGGAGAGGGGGGAAGGAGGAGGGAGGAGGGAAGAGGTCGATGTCACACACAGAGAGCACCTGCACATGTGTGGGGGTGGGGGTGGGGGAACAGCAAAAAAAAAGGGGAAGGTAAGTCGGGAGACAGAGTGGTAGGAGGGGATGCACACAGGTGAGGGAGCGGAGAGGTGGACTGATGGCATTCAAAGATGCACAGTACACACAAAGGCAGCTAGTCTGTCAGCAAAACACCTATTTATATAAAAAAACAGACAAACCAGTACTGGTGTCCGTACCCTGATTGGTCCTTGTGCTGACACGGATACTCTCAGGCGCCGCTGCTCCCTCTGTGAGTGCAGAGTGGCAAGAAAAGGTGAAGAGGGGAACGGGAGGCAAGGCAGGGAAAGGGAGGACAGCCGGACAGAGGCACAGGATGACGTAGGGGAACTATAGGTCGGGGAATAGTTGGGATAGAGTGCAAAATGGTGCAATAGTTTTAAGAATGGTGTGAGCAATGCATTGTCCATGGGTGCTTGTGACAAACAATGGCGGGTAAGAGGATGTGCAGGGAGAAAGAAAGGAACGAGGGGGTGGAGAGTGCAGAAGAGAGGGAGCAGAGGGTTCCAGGGGCCTCTCACTCACGGCTCATACCTGAGGGGTAGCAGGGAGGACGACAAGCGGGAAGTGCTTCACTTGGTCCAAAGGGAAGTGACCCATGCTGCCGCCCTCCCCTGGTACCTGTCCCATGCCATGGCAGCACATGCCATGCACCCAGAAGACACATGCCATGCCCGCATGACACACCCATGGCCCATGATTTGTGTCATATAGCCATGATGTGATGGCATGCCAGCATGTTGCCACAGCCAGGAGGAGGAAGAATCATGTCGTTGACAACACAACCATCATGTGATGTGAGAGGAAGGCTGACAGCGAAGACAGAGCGTGAGGGCACGATACCACAAGGCAGGGCCGCCAGGGATAGATGCAATAGCAATTGAAGGAGCGAGCATGCATCATGTGCTTGGCACTTGAAAAAAAGCCTGTCACATTCTGACCTCAAGCACGAGGCGGTGTGGGCGGCAGGGTTCGTCCCATGCGTAGGGCGTAGTGGCAAAGGGTTTGAGGGAGTCAGTGTGGCCCAGCCCCTCGCACCCGCGCTGGTAGAAGCGCAGCACCTGGGAGCAGCATGGGAGTGGGGAGGGGAAAAGGGGGGTTCCTTAGTCAATCCTCTGCTGAGAGCTACCTGTGCGTCCGTCACCCCTACCCTACATGCCCCCTGCATGTGCTCACCTCGCGGGAGCAGTTGTCAATGCGAAAGGGCATGAAGCCAGAGTCGTCCTCCCCAACCACCACCAGGTACGTGCCTCCCCCTCTCCACTTGCCACTGCCCTCGCCTCCCCTGCTGCTGCCATCATCGCTGCCAACCCTCGCTGCCTCAGTGCCCCCAGAGATCCCACCACTGCTGCTGCCGCCTCCACTGGCGTTTGTCGCAGCACTGGCAGCAGCAGTGGTAGAAGCAGTGGCGGTTGTATGCGTGGCGGCAGCGGCAGCGGCAGCGGCAGCAGGGTGTGGCAGGTGGGGTTCGGCGAGCGACACGTCGACCCTCACGATGCGAGTAAGGGCGAGGGGCGAGGACGGCGAGGAGGAGGGGGAGGGGGAGCAGCGCAGCTTGAGCTGAGTGTCGCCTAGCTGGGAGGGGCGGAAGGCACCCGACCACTCACAGCTGCTGTCAGCCAGGCGCAGCGACAGGTAGAGGCGACTGTGTGTGGAAGGGGGGGACGGGAGAGAAAGGGGGTGAGGGTTTACTAACGCAGCTTGCGTTGAGTGTCGCCAAGCTGGGAAGGGCGGAAGGCACCCGACCACTCACAACTGCAATCAGCCAGACGCAGTGACAGGTAGAGGCGACTGTGTGAGTGGGGGAAGAAGTGGGGAAAAGGAGGAGGAGGGGTCAAGTGGGGTAGCGTGGAAAAGAGGGGAGTGAGAACAGGCAGCTTAACTCGTGGTAATTGGGTTGGAGTTGCGTGGTAGCAAGCGAGTGTCACAGATTGAGACTGGAGTGCTGCTGGGGAGGAGGGCAGGTGGGTGTTACCGCTGCAGTTTGGTGAAGTGGATGGGTGCGTTGCCCCCAGCCTTGATGAGAACGTGCCGGTCCGTGCCGTGCTGCTTCACCCGTATGTCCGCTGACAGGCTGTTGGCTAGCACGTACCTGGCCGAGTGAAGGGGGAGGAGGGAGGGGTGGGGGACACAGGAGAGACAACAGGCTAAGTTGAGAAGAAGAAGGGGAGACTGTTACAGGGCGAAACGACTGAGCAATGTAACATAGGGATGCATGGTGCACAAGGCGAAACGCTTCGATACACAGAGTGCAGCAATGGCAAGCGCAGTGACGAGCAACGGCATTCCGGTAGCACGGCATGGGGCAGAGACCGAGGGCGAAGGGTGACGGTCTTGGCACGGCCAGCAGAGGCACCAAGGGTGTCATGGCAGGTGAGACTCAGTGCGAATGCACCTCCACCACCACCACCACCACTGCTGCCGCCACCACTGCCACCGCCACCGCCACCACTGCTGCTGTTCCCTGCTTGCTGTGGAATCAACACCTCTGCCACTCCCCCTGTTGGCTCCACTGGGATAGCTGCCGACCAACCAGAGAGCGACGCGTGGCTCCAATCAGGCACGGTGGAAGGCGGGGGGTCATTGAGCGAGCGCATACCGCCAGCACCACCCAGACCAGCAGCTGTGGTAGTAGAAGAAGCAGCAGCAGTACCCCCCACTCGCAGCACAAGTGCTGGCTGGGTGGGGTGAAGCCCTGCTGTGGCCCCAGAAGCAGCAGAGTCGGCATCAAGAGCGGGTGCAGGGGGGGCTGGAGTGAACAGAGCCATAGGGGGTTGCAGCGTTCCTCCTCCCTGGCTTATCTCCTCGCTCCCTCCTGCCCTGCGCTCGCCTCTCGATCCTGAACCCCTTTCCCCAGCTCCCAAGTTTGCAGCTGCAGGGCCGTGTGACAGCGAGCCATCAGCAGCAACGCTCACTCCTCCACTCATCCCAGGAAGCACAGCAGCCAACCCTCCCACTGGACCGCCCCCTGCTGCGCTGCCAGCTGGCACAAGCGGCACGCCGTTCGCCACCAATGCAGTCAGATGAGATGCTGACGTGGCAGCTGCCAGGCTGTCGCTTGTGAGAAGGGCGGGGTGCGGGGGGAGGAAGAGGTGGGAGGAGGGCGTGGCGAGGAGGTGCGCGTCGGAGAGGCAGAGGGGGAGGTCGGTGGCGTTGACGATGGTGAAGGGGGCTAGCAGGTGCAGGCAGCGGGAGGCAGAGGCAGGGCGGTGCAGGTGGATCAGGTGCAGGGGCACGGGGGGACCTGATGGGACACAGAGGAGTGAGATGAGATGCACAGGGGTCAGGACAGGGGACGAACGAGTGGCCGGGATGAAGGGTACTGAGAAACTGCCCAACTGACCTGATTGGAGCCTGGAGGGAGGCTGCGAAGAGGAACCAGAGAGTGTGGATGCATCGCAACATCGCATAGCATAGGATAGAATTGGTCAACGCTGCCGCTTAGTCATGTCACAGCAGCACCCACCTGTGACGCGAGTGAGCAGCAGCTCTTCCTCCTTGTGCTGCTGCCACTCTTCCCTCTGCCCCTTCTCCCCCTCCTCTCCTTCTTTCCCCTTCCATCCCCTCTTCTGTCCCTTTTGCCGCCCGCTGTTGTTGCTGTCAGCAGGAGGCGTGGGAAGCAGCAGAGGTGGGGATTCCAGGAAACCGGGGACGATCAGAGTGGCGTGAAGGGTGTGGTGGGCGGCGAAGTCAAACACCTCCACTGATGAGCCCTGTGAATGGGAGGAGCAGGGTGACTGTGAGGCTTGGCGGGGAACAAAGCTGGGGACCGGCCAAACCTTTTACTGATGAGCCATGAGAAGGTGGAAGGAGACGTGGAAGGGGTGGAACCAAACATGTAGGGTGTGGTGGAAGGGGGAAGTCCAACACTTTTATCGATGGGCCACATGAAGGAAAAAAGGAGGCCAGAGGAATAAAGTGAGGCAGCAACACATTCCATCTAACAGGTGAGCACTGGAAGCATCTCAAGGACAGAGAGTGTGGCGCGCTGGTACAAAAGGTGTAACATTACGGAGTTTACTGTGTGAACTGGGAAGGGCAGTGAAACTGTAGGCACAGGGCAGCTTACAGGAGGAATGTTGATGATGGTTGGTAGCAAAACGTGTTGGTCTGTGCAAATCAGTGTGACAGTAACCGGGACGAGCAGAAGATTCTTCAACACAAGAGGCGCTGCGAGGCACAGCTGCTGCTCCCACGCCATGCCCTCTTCCATTGCCTCACCCCCCTCTCCTCCTCTTCCTCCTCCTCCGCCTCCTCCCCTCTCCCTCCTCTCCACTTCTCCCTCCCCACCCACCGCCCACCATACGTCACCCCCTCCTCTGCTGTTTCTCCTGCCTCCTGCCCTTCGGCTATCCATAGGTACAGCAGAGGAGGCGAACACAGGAGAAAGGCAGCCGATGCTGGCAGCACTGCCGCTCCTGGATAGAGGATAAGAGGGGCTAGTGGTTGGGGGTGATGTGGCGCCATGGTTTGCTGTTGCCACGATGGCAGTGCCTGCTGACGTGGCAGTAGGAGCAGGAAGGTGCGGATTGGCTAGGAGAGCAGCAGCTTGGGCTGCAGCAGCTGCTGCAATGGCGACGGCATCGGCGCTAGAGGACGAAATACGGCGGAGGGTGTGAGGGGGGCTGCTGGGATTTGGGCGGCTGGTGGCGGTGAGGGGAGGCGAGTGGGAGCGGTGGGCAGCAGCGGTGGCCTCGTGAGGTGGACTGGTGACAGGCGTCCGAGCGATGGGGCAATGCGAGGGTGCCACGGGTGGCAAGCTGCAGGTGAATGGGAGTAGAGGGACAGGCAGGGAAAAAGAGCAAAGGCGTGGTGAGGCATTAGCGAGAAAAGAGCGTTGAGGAAGGAGTGCAACAGCACAAGCGAGAGGTGCAAGGGTGGATCCAGGTTAAAGGAGCAGAGGCGAAGAGCGGTACCTGAGAGGCAGAGGCGATTGGAAGGCGGTGAGGGAGAGGCAGAAGAAGGAGGGCGGAAGCAGGTCAAGAGAGGCAGCAATTCCGGGAGTGGAGATGGAAGAGGACGAAGCAGAGCGGGTCAGCAACGGTGCCACACCACCGGTGCCGCCGCCGCTACCAGTGCTGGTGATAGCACTCATGCCGCTGTTGCTGCCAGTAATATCCAACCCACTGGTGCCAGTGCAAGTGACAGTGGCAGCAGCGGGGGCCAGCAGAGCATCATCGAGCCTGGTCTCCTCGCTCCACGCCCACGGCCCCTGCACTGGTCGCCAGCGGAGGGAGGTGGACGAGGTGAGGTGCAGCGGAAGGTGCAGAGTGCTCTTGGCACCACACACCCCCACGTCTTCCACAGGCAGATCGGGGCGGTGGGAGTGATGAGCTTGGAGTAGCAGGGGCGTGTGCGAGGCGTTGACGATTGAAACGAGGGAGCGAAGCACAAGCCGGTGCTTGCGCCCCTCTCGAACCACCTCTAGCAGCACTGTCCCGTGCACCCGCGCTGCCCCCCCTTCCACGGCCGCCACCCCTTGCAGCCCCACCCCTGTCGCCCCGTCCTCTCCCCACCCCATTCTGAGCCCTTGCAAAGCCATGGCCTCGGCTCCCCTTTCCCGTTCACATCTGCTCCCCCCTGCTACGTATGAGACAGGGAAGGCCAGCCGCGTGCCGCCCTCCAGCAGCAGCGGGCGGCAGACTGAGTCACTGCCGTCCACTCCCACTCGCACCCACAATTGCCGGCCTGCCATTCCTGCTGCTGCGGTGCTGCCTGTGAGGCTCGTTGCCCTTCCTCTGCTGCTGCCCCTCCCATGGCTGCCTGCCTGTGCCTGGGGGATTCTTGAGGAATGAGAGGCGTGGTGTGCGGTGGAGTGTGGTGCAGTTGCCCCGAGGGAGGAGGAGCGGGTGCGAGGACGAGGGAGGCGAGAGGAGAGGGAAAGGCAGGCGCCAACAGGCACTGTGATGTGCGGTGGGTTGGTGGGAGGAACGGTGGGTGCTGATGCTGATGCAGAAGTTGGTGCTGATGGTGGTGCTGAATACTTGGGGTCTGAAAAGTCCTCGCTGAACCAGAGGTGCAGCATCACGCCGGTATAGTTTTCCACCCAATAGTGTGATGACACGTGGCGCGCCTGAGAAGATGAGAAGGAAGGACGGGACGAGGCACGATGAAGAGGCGAAGCACAAGCGCAAGCAAGGAGACACAAGGCAACTTAAAGAGGGGAGCCAAGGGACGGAGCAAGCAGCAGCGATGCGAGCTTCACAGTGAGAGCTGGCATGACGACAGCAAGAGTGGGAAAGCTGACTCTCAACAATACGTGTGGCACCGAAGGTGGTGGACGTGGGAGTACATAAGCAGGTGCCACAATGCTTTATCTTGCGCCATGCTTTTGCAGAGGTGCAGGATCGAGCATAAGCACCTGAGGGTTGGAGAAGAGTGAAGCTGCAATGCATGCTCCCTGCAGTCATAAGGGAGGGTGGACGAGAGAGCAACATGTGGTGTGTTGAATGTAAGAAACAATGAGTGGAAAGCATGGAACATAAATTAGAAAAACTTGCCCAGGGTAGGTGATGAATACATCAGGGTAGAGGAAAGAAATGCATCCAAGGCAGAGGAGAGCACAGGCGGGCATCATAGAGGAAAGGAGGGCATCAAAGGGCAGAGGAGACAAATTTTACCTCGAGGAGTGATGGCGTGAAATTGAGATTGAGAGGATGGGAGGAGGTGAGAGCCAAGGAGGTGAGAGCGGTGGAGGAGGCAGAGGGAGAGGAGGAGGAAGTGGAGAGGAGGGGTGGAGGGAGAGTGGAGGCAGAGGCAGATTGAGGGTTGGTGAGGGAGGAGAGGGAGTGCAGAGAGGCCGAAAGCTGGAAGGGCCACGGCTCACAAAGAGGCTCTAAGGCAGCCTGAGAGGGGGGTAAGGAGGGAAGAGGGGGGAAGGAGCAAGGAGATGGCAAGCACATGAAGGAAATAGTGCAGGAGGATGGAGGATATGAGGCTGAATGAAAAGCAGTGTGTGTTCAGCTTCAAGGTCATAGGGACAAAAAGGTGGTAGTGGAGTTTGGCGGCAAATAAGACTTACTGCTACGGCTGCTTTATCTCGCGCTGCTGCGAGCTCGGTTTCACAGTGACCACCCACCTTGTCCTGGTTGAGATAGTGCAGAGCGAGAGTGGTAGCAAGGGAGGCGTGCAGGTGGCCACTGGGCAGGCATGCAAGGGCGTGGCCTGCTGTGGTGCTGAGGGAGAGGTAAAAGAGGGGCTCGCTGTCCTCCTCACTCTCCGCCACCACTGCCACCAAGCTCTCCACGCCCACAACCACCAACGCATCGCACGCAGCGCTGCCGCTGCTACTGCTGTGACCCTCCTTGCTGCTGCTCTGCAGTGCTGCACTTTCTTGCTGCTGCCTCTTCTGTGTTGTGCCTTTGCCATTGCTGCCTTCTATGATCCCTTGGCGAGATGTTGCCTGCCCAGATACAGCCTGCCCAGATGATGCCTGCCCTGGCACCTGAAAGCTTGTGAGGAAGTGCAGAATCTCAGGCGAGCAGCGTGCATGCACTCGCCCCAGTGCCACGTGAGTAGCAAAAGCCAGCGTGGCATGTGGGGTGAAGGGAGACGTGCCCAAGCTACCAGTGGTAGCTGCAGCTGATGCTGCTGTTTGTGGTGGTGGTGGGGCTGGTGTGCGCCTCTCATCACCATGCCCTTCAACGCCAAAACCACCCTCTCTATTCTCACCTACGTTTTCCTGCTCCCTTCTCTCCAGTTCCGCTAGATCCTTCAGGCAAATCATGCCAAGTGCACTGCTGCGACCACCAACACCACCACCAGAAACCGTGCTGTTGTTTTCACGTATCTCCTCTGCATATCTCCCTAATGTTGAACCTCCCTCTTCTCTCACTCTGCCCGACCCGAAGTCCCCCTCCTCCTCCACTCTCCCAGCACCAGCATCAACCCCATCTGCACTCATCGCTGTTACACTGCCCGAGGGAGCAGCAGCCGCTGCCAGTCGCACCTGCAGCCCTGCCAGCTGCAGCAGGCGCATCGAGGCAGGAGGAGGAGGCGGCAGACGAACAGATGGTGGGTTGGATGCGGTTGGGGCAGATGCAGGGGCAGGGGCAGGTGGAGGAGCATCTGTAGGAGGAGGCAGGAAGCAGCCAAGGCGGAAGGAGAAAGGGTTGGAGCTTGGAGGTAAGGAAGCAGCATTGAGGGAGGCAGGAGGGAGGTTAAGCGGGTCAGGCGTGAACAGGTCGGCAGCACCAGCAGCACTGCCATCACCACTGCCGTCCCCATGGCCCACCTCAGAATGCCCCAAGCCAAGACGGCGCACACAGGCAAGTTCCACAGAGTGCAGGCCAGCAGAGAGCTTGGCTCTGCTGAGACTAGTACTGGCAGGTACAGAGGCTTGCACGTGGGAGTGCACATTCCTCACACGCACCACCACCGCACTGCACCCCTCCGTGTTGCTCGCCCACTCCCCTGGGAGTATACATGGGCTGTGCTGATGCTGTGCTGCCTGCTGTGTGCAGGTGTTAGGAGCAGAGGGAGTGGAGGTGTGCTGCGAGGCACCCTGGGAGGAGCGCTGGGAGGTGCTATGACTGGGAAGCACAAGAGTGAGCCCATCCACCTTCACTCCTGCATGCACCTTCACATGCACATGTGCTGCTGCTTCTGCTGCCACAGCTACTGCTGCTGCATTACCACCATCACTGCCTGTGCCGATTTCACCAACCAAGACGCCAATTGCTTCCTCCTCTGCTCCCCCAGTCACCCCCTCCTCAAGAGACGCACAGAACAGCCCCTCCATATCACCATGCCCTACACTACCACCAGCCTCACCCAGCCTCACGCCCATCATCACCGTCAGCCCCTCAGCCCCTCTCCTCCCAATCCCCTGCGCCTCCCTTACGCCCGATCCATTGCTGCCTCTTGCACGCTGACCCCCTGCCACCTCTGCACCTCCTGTGTCGCCTCCTTTAGGTGCCTTAGCGACAAGCAGGGAGGCGAGGCGAGACCAGGCAGGGAGGAAGGCCCAGAGGGTGGGGAAAGGGAGCTGAACAGTTGCATGTATAGCCTGGATGTTGTAATGGGGGTCACCACGTGTTTGTGCTGGTGGTGGTGCTGCTGGGACTGCTATGTTCACTGGGGTGGAAGGCGGTTCTTGGGATAGCAGCGAGAGGCTTGCCAGAGGTTGAGAAAGGGGATGTGGGGACTGTAAGGGGGGAGGAGTACAGGCGAGGGAGAGGGGTGCAGCAGCGGTGGTGCGAAGGGAATGGGGTGAGGGTGGGGTTGAGGTGGAGGAGAGGGAGATGGCGAGGTACGGAGACAGGCGGGTATGAGCAGCGTCACGAGTCACAGAACAGCCCCTCTCACGCTCGATCACAAAGAGAGGCACAGCCACTTGCAGAAACTCCAGCACTGCCGCTGAAATCTCTCCTGCAAAAAATCCTCCTGCCCTCGCCCCTTCTGGTGATGGTCCTCCAATTGCTGCTTCCCCTGCTGCTTGTGCATCTGCTGCCATTCCTTCCTGTGAAAAGGCAGGTGGCGGCCTTGCCTGGCCGCTGGCTGAGACTGCAGCAGCACTACCACGCTGTTGGGAAGTGCTTGCCATCTCTGCCTGTAAGCTCCAAAGGGCAATACTCTGCCACGTGGCCTTCACGGATTGGCCAGATGGTTGCAGCGCTGCAGCGCAGCGCAGATGATCGATGGAGAGGAGGGCGACGAGAGGGCCAGGGGGAAGAAGGAACGAGGGGGTTGTGCCATGAGCGGAGGAGGAAGGGGAGGATGGGAGGGAGGTTGTGCCTCGTGTGATGTGCAGGTGCAGGTGGTGCAGGTGGAATCTCAGGGCGATGGGAGGGGAGGGCTGCTGGGGGGGGGGCTGGGGCGGGATGAGGGCGAGCAGGGCAGCGATGGAGCCTGAGAGAAGGTCCGCCTCCCTTACAGGGGAATTCTCTGGTTGGAAGGGAGTAGGAATAGGAGAGAGAATGTGAATGACACACGGAGAATGGACAGAGAAAATTAGAGCCAATGCAGCAGATTAGAGCCAGCATATTGATCTGTTTTGTCGTTGGATTTTCTATCTAGCATTCAGAACTGATGATTTCCACACAACAACGGCATAGTCAGCTATGGCACACGCTGCACACACACACCCATGAGGAGCAGTTGGACCGTGAGCACTTGAACCATAACTCGCATCCACTCATGCGGGCTGCCCATCGCTGCTGCCTCCCCTCCTGACTCCACCATCCCTGATGCTGCCTCAGATCCCACGCCCACTCCTTGTGCTGCGCCCTGCAGTGCAGAACCGGGCTGGCTGCTGCCCCCAGCAGCCTGTGGCAATGCCACGTGCAGCAGAACGTCCACTCGCTGCACCACAGGAATTCTCTCCCCCACCCTCCCCACCACCTCCTCCTTTTCCTCCCCTGCACCACTTGCGCCTCCACCAGATACCACCTCGCAGAGCGGCAGCAGCTTGCCTGTGGCCATGCTAACTTTGAATCCCTCCACCCTCACCTCCACCGCCTCCCATTCCGCATCGTCTCTGTTCCCACTGTTCCCTTCTCCGACCACTGTGCTCCCTCTTCCTGTCTCACCCTCCTCGCTGCCTCGTCTCCCGCCCACGTTACTGATTTCATGCTGCTCTCTCCCATCCAGCCATGTGATTGTGCCAGATGAGGACCAATCCCAGCATGCCACGTGGCGTGGGAGGTTGGCAGTGATGAGAGGCAGCTCAATGATCAGGCACGGATGGCCCAGCCCCTCTCCTAATGTCGTTGCTGGTTTGATCCCATTGGATCCACGTGGCTGAAGCTGATTGGATGCGGATGGCTGCAGCAAGCTCTGTGGATGCCCTAAGGGAATGACAGCGATCTCACACCCCTCTACCCTCACAGCCCCCTCCACTCTCATTCTCCCTTGCCCTTGCTCCCACTCCTCCCCTTCTCCCTCCGCCTCACCTCCCTCTTCCACCATTTCCCATCTCAGGGGGCTATCCCCCACAGGGCTGAAAAACTGCGCCCCTGACCAGCTGTCGCCCTCCCCCGACCCACTCCCCAGCCCGCCCACACTCTCCCCTTCCCCCCTCTCCCGCTTCCCCTTGCCTTTCACCCCCAAAGGGCTTGTTTTGCTGCTGCTGCCGCCCCCACCCGCCCATCCCCCTGACCCTCCGCCTCTCAGCTGCTTCGCACCCCCACCTCCCCGAACAGCAATGCCCCCTCTCAAGGGTGAGCGGGAGAGGCGGGTGGTGGCAGGGGAAGCAATGGCAGTGCGGGCTGCTCTGGGCTTTCCTGTGTGGTGGCTGGATGGAGACGGGGAATCAGAAGAGACGGACATAAAGAGAGGGGTGCGTACAGGGAGTGTGATGTGGGGAGAGGGTGAGGGGCTAGTGGCAGTAGTGAAACTTGCGTGCTGTGACTGCTGCTCCTGCTGCCCCCTCTCTCGACCGTGCTGTGCAAGGGGCGACACTGAGGCAGGCTCCCCACTTCCCCCAACAACAGCATGGGTTAAAGGAGCAGTCACGGAGGGAGCAGGGAGGTAGCGCGTGACGTGCCCCACAAGCCCATGTGTGAATGGCTGTGAGACCACGAGCAGCAGGCGGGAAACAGCCACATCCACATGCAGTGTGGCGCCTGCCCCAGGCACACCCTCCCCTGATGCACCTGTGTGAGCGCCATGGGCTGCAAAGGTTATGGTGCCGGGCTGTGCTCTTGGTGCCCACACACTGCCCACTATCACCTGCTTCTGCTGCTGCTGCTGTTGCTGTTGCTGCTGCTGCTGCTGTTGTTGTTGCTGCTGCCCTTGCTGCAGTTGTAGAGTGCTTGGTGGGGAAGTAGAAGCCGAATCTGCAGGGAGATGAGGAACATAGCGCCCCCCGCTACCCACAGGGCCCCATACCTCAAACCCACTGATGCGCCCACAGGATGCCCATGTGGCTGGCAGTGATTGGCCCATCACGTGCTTCACATCTGCCTGCACCAGTGCCTCACTCAGAGAAGCAGTTGCCACTTCCACCACATACCCCTCACCCTCCCCTTCCTTCCTTCCTGTTATCTCATGGATCCTCTCTACCCCTCCTTTCAGTCCTTCTAGTGTTGCCTCGCCCCCCTCCTCCATCAGCCGAACCACCAATCCAGTTACTCTGCCGTCCAGAATCAGTTCTGTGCCGCCTGCACCTGAGTTTTCAGAAGAAGGCAGAACGACGTGAGTGGATGGGCCGCGGGTGGGAGCAGGACGCAGAGAGGAACTTGTTTGAGTGACAGTGCCACCATCGTGCGAGGCAACACCCCCAGAACCAGCAGCAGCGTCAGTGACATCATCTCCAGACACCTTCTCAAACACAACCCGTGCACTCTGTCTCTCCATCCCCTGCCGTCCCACTCCAACCCGCCCCCTGGACCTCTGCGGACTCACGCCCAGCGCACCAGTGGCCAGTACTGCCGGCGACAGCAGGGCGTCAGTAGTGGGTGGGGGAGAGTTGAAGGGTGAGGAGGCAGCGGAGGAGAAGGAGCTAGAGGGGCTCTCAAAGAGTGAGAGGTCTGCAGAGGGGTGTGTTCCCATGAGCCCACTTCCCCCCTCCCTGCCCTGGGAGTGGTGTCTCTTGCTTCCTCCGCTGCCTGGCAGGGCGGAGAAGGGAGAGGGGGGAGTGGGGGTGGAGAGGGAGGAGGAGAAGGCTAGTAGGGCGAGGAGCGTGGGTTGGAAGGCAGTGAGGTGGAGGGAGGAGAGGTGGAAGGAGAGGGAAGTGGAGTCGCGAGATGGGGCGGTCAGCGACCTTGATTTAAGACACAATTCCACACGCAACACACACTCCCCTGCTCCTGCCCCATCTCCTCCCACTGCTGCTCCTGATGTGGCTGGGGCAGATACGCCTGCCAAGCGTACATTCTCTCCTCCCAGCCAATGAGAAGTGCTGGCGGAATTTCCTGCTGAGGATTGGCCACCACTCAGTGCTCCACCACTCAGTGCTCCACCACTCAGTGCTGCTCCCATGGGAGCCGCTGCCTGGCCAGCAGTTGGTATGGCAGGCATGGGCAGCGAAGAGAAGGAGAGGCAAGCGGGGAGTGAGGGGGCGGAGAGGACGCGGGGGACGAGCATATGGGGAGCCGAGGGGTCTGTTTGGGTGGAGAAACCTGAGAGAATTTGTGGGGAGAGCCAGAGTTGTGCTGATGGGTTAGGCTGGAAGGAGAGAGAGGGGGAGGAGAGGATGGAGTGGGTTAGAGAGGCAGGTGTGGGAGGGTGTGATGTGGTTACGGTAGGGGAACTGGCTGGGTTGGGCGAGGAGGGAAGGTGCGTTTGAATGATGTGGTGGGTGGGGCAGGAGGGGGGTCGCGAGGAATCGGTGAGTTGGAGGCGGTGCAGAGTGGCATAGATGTGCTCCTCCAGTAGTCTTTGGACCAGGCTGTAGGGCTCATGGCAGCGCACAGACGCACAGGGCACATGCACACACATGCACACACATGCACACACATGCACGCACGCACCAACACACGCATGAAAACACACACAAACCAACCATTTGCACAGTCGGACACAACAACTGAGACGGAAAAACCTAGCCGCAATACGTGGAGGCAGGATGCAAGGTACAATGAGAGCATTCACTCACCGGACGTCCAGTCCAGTAGCCTCAAGAGTGATCACGTGGGCTCCTGATGCTTCCCCGTTTGCGGACCCCCTGCTTTGCCCAGCCCTGCTGCGCTTGCTGCTGGAACCAAGAGGCTCTGTCGAAGAGGCACTCATGTCCAGGCGCACTGTGATTTTCCCTACAGCCACTCCTACATCTGAAATTGGCGTGCCTGTTAGTACGTCCATGCCACTCGCCACTGCCACCCGCCGTGACTGCACCCGACTTATCCCTCCTGTTCCTAATTCTGCTTTCCCATCTCTGCTGCTGCTGCCACCCTCATTCACAGCCCCGCTTCCGTCCCCGCCAGCCTCATGCTGCTGCTGCTGCTGTTCCAGTAGCAGCAGAGGGAGCCCAGTGTTGTCTAGATCGGGTGAGGCCAGCAGCTGCTGTGGCACCTTGGCAGCGTCGCGCTGCAGAATGGTGTGAAGCATCTCGGACCAGGACGGTGTGGATGTCAGCCCCCCACTGCCACTCCTTACACCGCCCCCATTTCCTGCCTCGCCTGCAGTCCCCCTCCTTGCACCTTGACCCCCCATTCCTCCTTGCAGCTGGCCCACGCGATGTGGGACAGCTATGGGCCCTGAGGCAGGCAGAGGGTTGTTGCTGCTGGTGGGGGCAGCGTGGGGAGGGGTTTGGGAGGATGAGGCGGTGGGAGGGAAGAGGATAGCGGAGGAGGATGGCTGGTGTGCTGGTTTAGGAGGCAGGGAGGATGGGGGTGGCGTGAGGGAGGAGAGGATGGAGAGGAGGAGGCGGAGGTTGGTGAGGGAGAGGATGATGGAGATGTGCGGAATGCTGCCTTGCACCTGCAGAGAGGAAGGGAACAGCGAGGGTGACATCAGAAGGAAGATAGAAGCAAGGAGCTGAGACTGGAGGAACAGGACGCGGAAGGTGAAGGGCTGTGCTGCAGGGGAATGAGAGTGAGGTGGAAAGGTGGTGAAGTGGAGTAAAGTGGGAAGGAGGGCAGCACTCACAACAGCTTTGGTGGTGGCAGGGTCGCCTGAGAGAGCGCAGAGCAGCAGGTGCAGGTGGACAGAAAACTCCTCCACAAGAGGCAGCTCCCTGCCACTCTCACTGCCACCCTCCCCTGCACTGCCCGCTCCTGCCATGCTGCTGCCACCACCACCGCCCATCCACATGTTCCCTGGTGCCCCCAGTGCACCTGGGGGCAGGCCAGGCCAGAAGGAGTGGGGGACTGGTGGGGCTGGTGGCGTGGGTAGTGCAGTGCGAGGGGGCGGTGGAACGAGAAATACCTGTGAGGAAGGGGCAGGCAGGGGGCAGCAGAGGGAGTGCGAGAGGGACTTGGAGAAGGGCGGAACGGAAGGCACACAGTACGGGACACAAAGGGAGTGAAGGGAAGGGACGAGAGCAGAAGAGATGGGAGGAGCGACGGACCTTGACAGCAGCGGCTCTAACTGCGACACTGTCAAATAGCACCATCTTCTGAACCCACTCCGCCATGCCTCTCTTCCCAACGCCTCCCGTTCTCCCCCCTCCCATCCGTCCATCCGCATGCCCAACATCTATACCACTGCCTGTGCCTCCTTCCATACCGCCATCGCCCACTCCTCCCTTCCTCTCTCCCTCCATGTCCATTCTTCCATCTCCCTCCACTTCAACTCCTCCCACTGCCGGTCCCTGACTTTCTACCCTTCTCACGCCAGCATCTCTCCCCCCTGTCAGGCCCCTCTCCCCCAGGACGGAGAGTGCCGATCGCAGGTTGCCTGAGGAGGCGAGGGCTTGTGCAAGGAGAGACCGCTCAGGGGGTTCAGGGATGGACGAGATGTGCAGTGACGCCAGCTGTAGCACCTGCACTCCTCCAGGGGACGGGGGGTGCGAGAAGGGCAGGGGAAGGGGATGAGGATATATGAGGGGTTGAAGAAAGAAGAGAAGAGAGTAAGGGGCAAGGGTGTGAACATAAGATTTCCGAATGAACCTATGCAGGCACATGAGAAACACATAGTAGCTCGGAGTAGCTTCTGCCAGTTTCAGGGAGCACTCACCAAAGGCCGCTCTCTGGCCTTGGCACCACAGCAATCAAGCTTACCAGCAGGGGGCAGGGGCGGGCAGAGAGGTACGTGTCAGCGTGTGGAACAACGATCGTGACGCTTGCCACGTCCACATGCAGATGCAGCACCTTGCGCGTGGCTAGCACCAGGCTGGCGGGAGAAGTGACATAAAAAGAGGGGCAGAGAGAGAGAACCAGTAGGGATGAAGGGCAGGAAGAGCAGAGGAATGAACGGATTGCTGTAGTGCAGAGCTCCAAGCTTTCTCGAGATGGAAAGGGAATGGTTGAGTTGAATGAGTGCAGCTCACCCAGACTTGGCAGTGGCTCGAGCAGTAGTTGAGTCCAACGAGTTGATGGACGCAATCACCTGACGCCATGCCATGGCGGGACATAGGGTAGGGTGACACGGCATGGGTGGCGGAAACAGGATCTTGTGATGGAAAAACGATACACACCATGACTGTCCTTTCGTGGCGAGGGATGTGGCCAAAACTGACTCATTACTCACCTGTTCTTGGTGGGTGGGCACGGTCGTGGGATGGCTGAAGAACATGCCCACGCGCTTCAACACCTCCACACCCACCACCGCCTGCACTGGCTCCACTGCCACCTGCCGTCACGGAAAAATATGTGTGGCAGGGCATGCAGACGGCAAGCAAGGAGAGAGACTGTGGGAGTGTGACAGGAGGTGGTAGTGACAGGAGGCAGAAGGGTTGAGAATTGAATTGACAGCAGGTAACTGATAAGAGGCAGAGGGCTCACCGATATTGTCGTCTCCATCTCATTGGGCGCACTGTCTTCCACCTCGCCTCCTCCCACTCCACCATCTCCGTGCCCATGCCCATGCCCATGAGAATGGGGCGAGTGCACTTCGATTTCCACCCGCAGCATCGGCCTTGCCGCTACAGCTTGCATCTGCCCCCCTGGCCTCCACCCATGCACCTCGCTCTCACCCCCATAGCCCCTCCCTCCCATCTCGGCCCCTCCTCCCATGCCTCTCTCCCCTCCACCACCCATAGCAACCGCATGCTCTGCTGCAGCAATGGCACCGATACCTAGAGCTGACTGATTACGTCGCATGTTCGCCCACCCTCCATTGCCCACCCCCATGCCCATGCCCATGTGCGCAGAACTATACCCATGCCCTGCCAGAGGCGCATGGGCATGGGGATAGGCATGTGACCCTGGGTACCCAATCCCAGCTCCTGCTCCCAGCAGCATACCCAGCCTCCCATCCGCCCCCACCCCCACTCCCAGCCCCACGCGAGAGTCTGTACGTGGTAACATCTGACCCTTCCCCCCGCCCCCTACAGGACCCCCCAGGCCCGCCCCCAGGGCTGGGCGGCCCAGGCCCCAGGCAGCACTGGCAGAACGCATTAGCAGATGGCCGTGGTCGGCAGGGGAGGGAGAGGAGACGGTGGAGGGCGAGGCGAAGGAGGAGGCTGCGGAGTGGAAGGAGGGGTGTGACGGGTGGGATGGAGGGAGGAAGTCGTGCAGCGAGGAGTGTGGGAGCTGCAGGGAGGGAGAGGGTGGGTGACAGTGAGAGGGAGAGGGACAGGTGAGGAGTAAAACACGCGCATTAACTCTGGGCACTGCAGTTTAGTTGCAAAAGGTCCATGGGGGCACAGGCACAGAGAAGCTTACCAGTGGAAAGAGGATCCTGACGGCCTCATCCTCCTGAGAGGAGGATGGAGAGATTCGACTCCTTTCACTGCTTACGCCTCCTCCCATGCCTACACCCGTTCGCATGCCCTGAGAACCTGGTCCAGCAAACGAAGCAGAGGCGTCAAGTGTGCCCTTTGCAGCTCCTGAGGAGCTCCAGAGGTCAAAGGCTTCGAGAGAGGAGAGAGTGAGGGAGAGAGAGGAAGAGCTGGTCCACACCCGCGAGTTGAGCAGCAGGCCTCGCAGCCTGAGGCTCAGTATGTCCCGTCGGGAATATCTGGCGGGGAGGGCAGAGAACGGAAAGAGCAGCAGGAAGAGGGGAGGAGCTAAACCGTTGTTGTGCTAATAGGGAGCATTTCAAGCGGGAGCGGGAGAGAAATGAACGAAGTGGTTCAAGGCCTGCTTGTCGGCATGAGGGAGAGGCAAGTGAGGATGCATGCGCTGAGGTGGTGGGGAAAGAAGAAGGCACACTCACGAGCTGCGCAGGGAGGCATGACCGTCTGCCACCTGTGCAGTGAACGCCAGGCGGCACACCGACACTGCTGCCCTGCCATGAGTCGTCCTATGAGACGCCTCAGGGAGCATTTGGCTGGAGGGCCCCATCACACTGGAGTCCTCGGGAATGGAGGCGTCGAGCGACGAGGAGGATTCTGAGAATGAAAGGGTATGCACAGAGGAGCGGCTCCTGTTCATGGCTTTGGGTGCTGCTGACGTGGCATCCATGGCCATAGATGCCGATGATGACGTGGATGCTGATGTGGACATCCAGGAAGGCTCATCCAGCCCGTTATCCCCGTCAGCAGCATCAAAGGGCGAGTCCAGTGTGCGATAGAGCTCCTCTAAGTCACGGTCACTGACTGCAGCCATGACGTCAGCTGCAGCAGACGCATCAGAGCCACCAGCGCCCAGCATGCCCTGAGACAGCCAGTTCAACCACCCCCTCCCCCTCTGCTGCTGCTGCTGCTTCTGCTGGGCTGCTTTGCCCTTGCGCCGGTCCCCTCGCCCGTCTTTCTCTGCAGAAGAATCTTCAGCTGAGTCTTTTGAAGCGGATGGGTTGCCCCATTCTGTGCGGGCAGCCCGCTGCAGAAAGCAGTTAGGAATGGAAGAAGACAATAGAGGGGGGAGGGGTGGGCGAAGAAACAATGTCAGTTGAGGAGCAAGAAATGGCTGGAGAGGCAGAAAGGGGAAAATGAGCAAGTCATGCGTGCAGCAGCATGGCACACAGTCATGCATCTGGAGGTGAGCGGTGCAGGCCGGAGGCGAGCGGTGCAGGCCGGAGGCGAGCGGTGCACTGAGGAAGAAGGCACGACACACCTGGGCGGCAGCTGTCCGGAATAGGAGAATGTCCTCTAGCTCCAGCTCGTCCTCCATCTCCTCCAGCTGCTGCCTCTCCTCCACCTGCAGTCACAAACACACACACGCACACACACACACACACACACACGCACACACACACACACACACACACACACACACACATGTACATACTAAAAGTATATGTATACATACATAAGAGCAAAACAAAAAAAAACGTGGACGAAGACGCAGCAAGTACAAGTCAGGGCTTTCACAAGGAGGAACGTGCTCACAGGGAGGTCTTGCAACAATTCCAGCTTCCTTTTGTACAAGGCCGCGTATTGCCGTCGCTTTGCCCTGGTGTCGTGGTAACAATGGTGGGGTTGGAGCAAGGAAGGAAAGGAGGAGTGTGTTAAGAGCGCAAACACGAAAGGGGAGAGAGAACAAGAGCAGAAAGTACCCCAAAGCAGATGAGTGGTTAACCAGGGAAGTCAAGGGGGCGAGCAGGCATCTGGTGTGGAAGAAAGGGTTCAGGAAGGGTGCAGAGGCATAAACGGTTGGAGAGGAAGGGACGTACAGGCGGGAGGGGAGGTAGAGGAAGGAGCGGCGGTAGAGGCGTTGGCGCACATCAAAGAGCACGGCATTGAGCGCGTATGACCACAATGCGCGCACTCTCTCGCTGCCACCGCTGGTGCTTCCGCCCTGCTGGTCCCCCATGCTGTCGGCTGGTTTGGTGCCACTGGTTGGTGGGGTCTGGGAGGAAGAGAACAAGGCTGCGGGGCGAAAGCGGCCATACCTGCAGTGGGACAGTTAAGCACACGAGAAAGGTGAAGTGGCAGCAGACAAAAGAGGGTGTGAGAACATGCAGCACACAGAGAGACGTGTGGTAAGTGGCAATGCGTATATGAGACACAGAGAGACGTGTGGTAAGTGGCATTGCGCATATGAGACACAGAGAGACGTGTGGTAAGTGGCATTGCGTATGCGTATATGGTGACACAGGGATGCAGAAGAAGGACCTTTCTCTGAGGCGCAGCACGTTGAGGGCATCGGCCAGCAGCAGCACGTCCTGGTACTGGTGCTCCTCCAGAGACACTCGCTGGCACAGAGAGGGGGAGAAAGTTGGGAGGTAAGATTTGTATTAGGGGAATGGGTTATAAGGCATGCGCAATATATCAGGAAGATTAGAAGGAATTGCGGTACCCAGAATATCTAGAACGAGAAGCATCAGGCACTTGCCAGGTGGTTGTGGCAGCACATCAGATCAGGTGATTCTGACATACCAGGCGGTTGCAACGGAGAGAGACAGACACGGGAGCAGTGCTTGTGTGGGCGGGAGGGCCCATATGCATCTGGAGGGGGGAAAAGGAATGGAACAGAACAGGGGTAGAAGGACAACAGCACAAGATAGTGATGGTGGAAACCGAGAGAGGTGGTGAGGTGAGAGGTGACAAGGGGGTTGCTGCAACAAGAAGCAGATGACAGGGTAGAAGACCAACAGTAAGTGCATGAAGTTCAATGCCACATGCACTTGTGGATCACCTTTGTCATCGCCACATGCGACAAAACTGTTTCCACATGTCAGCAGCTTATGCTTGCATGGTCACATAGCCATGCTTTATGATCCATGAACCATGATGCCATAAAACACAAGTCATTATGCATGCCGTACCACGAGTCTGATAGAAGCATCCAAGGGATGCAACATGTTGTTCGCCACTGCTGCCGAACCTTCCTCTCCCTTGCCTCTCCCTTGCTCCCTTCCTCTTCCCCTCTGCTCATCCACCCCTCTTCGCCTCTGTCTCTTGGCACCCATCCCTCCACCCTCCTCCTCATCACTTGGCACCAACTCACCCTCTCCCCACACTATGTCCGCATCCATGCTCTCCTCCCCTCCCCTCTCTCCTGAACCATCCCTCACTGCTCCTTCCCGCCTCCATCTCTCTCCACCTTCTGTCCCTTCCTTCCCTGTCCTCTCCCCACCTCCCTGTCCATTAGGCCCGAAAGTGCTCCCTTCGAACCCTCTCTTGCACGAATTCCAGTAAAACGACAACCCCCGCACCTCAATGCTCTTCCTCAAATTTCTCCCTGCCCCTCCGTTCCTGCCCGCGTCCCCTATCTGTGGCTTCCCCTGCCCCCCTGCCTGCCCCTGCCCAGCCTCTTGCTCCCACTGCTGCTCCAGAAGCTTCTCTGTGGGAGTCTGGCTGTCTGGCGGCACAAAGAAGGAAGCAGTCGACCCAGGCCCACCACCAGGGCCACCTGCCGCAGGAGTTGTGTTGAGAGCAGAGGCGGATGCAGAAGCAATGGCATCTGCAGCAGCGGCAGCAGCAGCAGCGAGGGGGTCCTTGGAGGCAGCAGCGGCCACAGAGAGATGGTCCAGGTGAAGGCCAAACTCAAACGCCGCCTGCATGGGCACAGAGGTGAGTACGACAGTGATTGGAGAGGAAGTGCGGGAGAGCAGAGCATGAGAATGAGGACAGATGAGATGACTCCAGCAAAGCAGTCGGATGCGGTGCTCAAGAAACAGACAGGTAGCTAATGAGATGACAGTGTAAGCGGCATGGAAGGTAGGGTGCAAACAGCAAACAAAACTGGAGCACGAACCTTGGGGTCGGAGGAGGAGTGTGTGTACTTGACGTGCACGGATGTCACCAACACCTCCAGAGCGTTCAATCCCTGCCATGATGCAGGTAAAGCAGGTGATGCAGGTGATGCGGGCACGTGATGCAGATGATGTGGGACATCTAGGTAGGACACACACGCTGTGAGCAAAGAAATACAAAGATTATCATGCTATTAATAGTTCGGTGTGAATTGCAGACTAACGGTGTAAGAGGGAGGCACATTACAACGGCTGAGAAGTATGAGAGTGCTGACGCCCCGACACCATTGCCTGGGAGCAAACAGCGATGCAGTAACAGGGAAGAGAAGAAACGGGAGAGCACATGATTGCAAACAAATCATTGCTGAGGCTCTCTCTACTCATCAAGCAATGACGTGGCAACAAAGGATGAGGTGTTTCACCCTACACAAAGCTCCCCAACCTAACCTTTTTCTCACGTCATCTAAGCCTGCCTGCCCTCACATCACCTCACCCTGCTCAGACATCTTCACCACCTCGGCTGCAGCCAGCGCTGCCCTCTTGGCGGCTCTCTCTCTCACCACTGCCGGACCCTCCGACCACTGCACAGTGCACACAGCCGGGCAGGGAAGCACAAGGTGACGAAGGAGGGAATAACAGGTAGTAGTACTAGAGCAGTGGCCAAAAATTATCAACGACAAGGACGAAAGCAGGGGAAGGGCGAAGCAAAGTGATTCAACAGCTCCACGAAGGTCCAGGATTTAGGGTTTAGGAACTGCGAGGGAAGTGCAGAAGCAAGGAGCCAGTACTCCCACGGACACACCTCATGGTCAGCCCTTGGTGCCATCACTATAAGCACGTCGCTGATAGTCACAGACACGCATGGTTCTCGGCCCAGCCTTTTCATGGACAGCTGCAGGCTGAGACTACCGATCTTCCCTGCAACCACACAAAAGGAAATCGCAGACTCCAGCAGCTTAGCAGAGAAGCTATTATTGGATAAAAGGTATATATGAACCAATCGATGAAGTTTTACAGATTGAGGAAGTTTTTGTGAACTTCGATGCCCCAGAGCAATGAGATGGCATGCGAACTGAAGTGCAACGCCGTCATGGAAGCTATGACAGATATATACCATGGTGGATCGAAACTGGCAGCTGAAGGTGGTCGAATGCTGCTGTGTTGATCTCCAGGTCGTTTAGTCTTACCACCCCTGTTCAAGCAGCAGAAGTCAAACACTTCTGATAGAATTAACTGTAAAGTCGGACGATTGGATTTTGAAGTCAGACGACTGGATTGAACATGAAGGCATTGCGTCTGAAGGCACACAACCGGTTTGATTCTGAAACCAGACGACAGGATAGCTTCTGAAGCCAGACAGGTGAAACAGGTTTGAAGTCGGGCGACTAGATTGCTTTTGACGGAAGCCAGCTGGTTTGATATTCCAGAGTCTCAATTGATCCTGAAGCGAGACAACTGGATGGTCTCCAAAGCAGCGACTAGATTGTTCTCAAAACCAGGATTGGTTGTGAAGTCGGACGACTGAATTCCAACTCAGTGACATAATTGAACCTGAAGGCTGCAATGTCAGAACGAGGACACCTGAATTCATCCTGAGGTCAGACAGCTCGATCATCCTGAGCCAGGCGACGGAATTGCTTGTGAAGGCAGACGACTCAGGTGATTCTGAAGACACGCTGCTGGATTGCATCTAACGGCTGTCAACCTTTCATATTCCGAAGTGAAACAACTGATATTCGACAAGGGCCATGAAATTCGCTCATACAAGTATGTTCATGAACTGACTATGCAGCGACCTGGAATGAGGCAGAAAGGGATGTTAATCACGGTCTAACTGCTTCGTAAGCAAGACATTAAGTTCGTGAGACTCACGTCGCCATACTCCGATTCGGAGCTGCTCCTTGTGGAAGTTCTTGAGGTAATGCGAGAGGTAACCTCCCACCAGCGAGAACACGAGACTTTCCAACATTGCGCCGGGTTTCTTTGCAGTCAGATTCGGCCCGAAAGTTAAGTCATGGTGACGATGGTTGCGAATGTCAGGCGATTATCGGCAAGGACACGGTCATCACGGACAGCAGACGCAAAGCTTCAAGAGGTTCCTGACCAGGATGATGTCAATGCTGTGCTGCTCATGTGACAAGAAATTGGTCTGGTCATGGCTACCATTGACGCTAATATTCAGGGGTCGAGCCTTGATCAACTCGAGTAAATGACATATCGCCACTTGATAATAAAGGCTACACTCCATTCACGTGAATGCAATATGAGCACCACTATTTTCCATGCATATCTTCTTCAAGAGAGACGTTGCAAGGCATCAAATCAGACGGTTCATACAACTCATATTTTTACTTGCATTTATAGAGTATGAACATGTGCAGTCGGATAGATACAACCATCAGTAATGGCATTTGAAATAAAGTCATGTATGCATCTGGGACGTGGTGCATGTGAGCTGCTGCTACGTACCTTGTTTCAATGTTTTGCAGCTTAGCTTATTTCAGCCACTATGTTCTGTTCTATGATTGAATACAGTAGTGTGCATTTACTCTGTATGCCCTTATTCAAATGTGATTATTCGAATGTGTTGACGTCACACTTGGGTTCCAGCCACCTGGACTTACAGGCAGAGTTCAGATTGCCATGACCCGATAAACCAATTACTTCGTGCCAACTCAGGCCCCTATCATCTGGTTCATTCCCGAATCGTCGCAAATGTCTACTTTTTCTGGGGCAAACTGTGCTTGGAAGGGGCGTGACTGAACCGACACTCCCTGGACCCTTGGAGTCTGATTCACCAACGCATCACAGCAGCACAGGCACTGAGCTCCCTAAGAGCAACACCACCACGCTCTAGTCTTTATCTTTCAGATACACCTCGTGAGACAACCAAGTGAGGTGTCTCTCCCTGAAGCTTAGCCAGTTCGTTCGAAAGTCATTTTAGCCATGGCTGCCGTGACTTGCCCTTCGGCTACCGTGTCGCGCGCTTCCCTCGCGCCGGCGTCCCTTTCGGGCGTGTCTAGCCGCAAGAATGTGAGCTTCTCTAGCTTCACCCCGAAGGCCAACTTCGGCGTGAAGGCGGCCGCTGGACGGGTGACGATGGAGGTCGTTAAGGACAAGCCCAGAGACGGGTCCAAGGAGCCGTCCAAGGAGACTCTCCTCACTCCCCGCTTCTACACCACCGACTTCGACGAAATGGAGAGGGTATATTTCACGACCCTCGACGCTACATCGTATCGCTTTAGCTCGAACCACAGCCCAGGGCCGAGAAGAGCGTATCATAACAGGAATCTCGCTACGAGATATCGACTTTGCCATCAGCATTAGACATAAAATTGATTATTTTATTCCTTTCCCCGCCCGTCTCCAGCTGTTCAACAGGGACATCAACCCGTACCTGAACCAGGCGGAGTTCGATGCGTGCCTGGAGGAGTTCAAGGCCGACTACAACCAGACTCACTTCGTCAGGACGCCCGAGTTCAAGGCTGCCGCCGACAAGATCCAGGGCCCCGCCAGGGAGATCTTCGTTGAGTTCCTCGAGCGGTCGTGCACAGCCGAGTTTTCCGGCTTCCTCCTCTACAAGGAGCTCGGCCGTCGCCTCAAGGTACCTGTGCTTCCAAAAACATTTCCGCCGTTACCGGCATTTCCAATCCGAGCATTTCGTGGGTGGAACCATTTGCATTATTAATGTCGGCCGGCTTTTCGTGTGCAGAAAACCAACCCCTGCATCGCTGAGATCTTCACCCTGATGTCCCGCGACGAGGCCCGACATGCCGGGTAAGTCTAGCCACACGCATCTCCGCTCGTCCCTGCGAATTGCAATTTCGGTGACCTAAAACCTGGCACATCTCTCTATCTCCTATCTGCAGTTTCCTGAACAAGGCTCTGTCCGACTTCAACCTGTCCCTGGACCTGGGTTTCCTCACCAAGGCGCGCAAGTACACCTTCTTCAAGCCGCAGTACATCCTGTACGCCACGTACCTCTCCGAGAAGATCGGCTACTGGCGCTACATCACCATCTGGCGCCACCTGGCCCAGAACCCCGAGTACCAGTGCTACCCCATCTTCCAGAAGTTCGAGAACTGGTGCCAAGACGAGAACCGCCACGGTGACTTCTTCACCGCCATGCTCAAGTGCTACCCTAAGTTCCTTCAGGACTGGAGCTCCAAGCTCTGGGCGCGCTTCTTCTGCCTCTCGGTAAGTCCTGCAACACAGGGAGAATGCTGCTGTTAAACTGTTTCTGCGGTGTCTTTCATATCTGATTTCTCTCCACGCCAGTACATTTTGAAGTGATGCTAACGAATGAATTTTGTGTCAAACGGCAGGTGTACGTGACGATGTACCTGAACGACCACCAGCGCACGGCGTTCTACGAGGGTCTGGGCCTCAACACGAAGCAGTTCAACATGCACGTGATCATTGAGACCAACAAGACCACGGCGCGCATCTTCCCCGCCGTGCTCGACGTCGAGAACCCCGAGTTCCAGCGCCGCCTCGACGTGCTCGTGGGCCTCAACCAGAAGCTCGTGGACATTGGCAAGAGCGACGCCCCTGATGCTCTGAAGAACGTGCTGCGGTTCCCCGTGCTGGCGTCGTTTATTGGCGAGCTGCTCGCGCTCTATTTCATGCGGCCTGTGGACTCTGGGTCTGTTGACTTCATTGACAACGAGGCCCAGGTTGTGTACTAAGCGCTGATGGTTTGACTATAGGAGGCTTGCTGCTGCTGCCTGTCTTGTACATGTGGAATACCATGATTTAATGAAGCATTTTTCTAAATGTGTGTAAGATGCCTGGAAGGATGTAGCTGCTTGTATTCTGTCCACGATGCTAGCTCTGAAGTGCCAGTATATTCAGAGCAAGAGAGTGGAGTATACGATAGTACCGTCACTAGCACCTCTTCATGGACACAGCTGCTCCTGAGGAATACCGTAACTGAGCAACATTACCGTATGTGACATGACATGCTTTCCCAGCCAACTGACTGTCACACAAACAAGGCAACCACCTGACTCAAATCTGCAACTCTTGACTGTGTATGATAGTGATTGATGTGTATAATCAGTACAGCTACAGCCTACCAAATCACCTAAACGTCCTATCATTCTCATCCTGATTGGTCAGATGCAACCTTGAAGCAGCAGCTCTAGTCAGCCGCATGTCAGGCGAAACAGCAGCGTCCCGCTGCTTGGCAACAAAATCACCAAACACACGCAAGGGCAGCTCACGGGGAGCGGCCAGTCGCCTCCTCTGATACATCAGTGTCGTGGGTGACGGGGCCAATGGGGAACACAAGGGCGAGGTGCCTGTGGTGGAAGGCGATGGTAACGTGCTGATGCTTGGAGGTGGTAACCAGGTTGCCTCCCTTGGGATTGCCGCTGGTGTGGTGGAGGGTGTGAGGGCGGGCCAGGAGGACTTGGAGGAGGAAGTGAGGAGGTCGATGGCAATGGGTGGCCTTGTTGTTTGCTGTTCCTGCTCCTTTGCAAGCTCCACCGCCGGTGCATCTGGAGCTGGTGTACTGACTGACTTGCCTGCTGCTGCTGCTGTTACTGCTGTTACTTCTGGTGCTTCTGTGGCTGATGGTGCAGTCGCAGCTCCTTCTATTGCTGGGAGAGGAGGTAACGGAAAATTCCCTGGAGCAGAGGCGGCAACATCCGAGGAAGCAGAGGGAGCAGCTTGCATGAGGGTAGGGATGATAGGCGTGTGAGAGGCTTCTGCAGGCAATGCAAGTTCCAGCTTCAACTCCTCCGTGTGAATCCCTGTGCCTGCTCCTGCTGCTGCTCCTTTCTGCTCTGCTACCTCTCCCTTCTCTGCTGCAACCTCTTGAATGCTTGCATCTGCAAGACTGGGCCCCACTCGCACTGTGTCCAACTGGCCATCATGTCCCTTGCCCATCGCTCTCTCCTCCCCTTCCCCCTCCACCTTCCCCATCACCTCCTCCTCCTTCACTTCCGCCCTCACCACCTGCAGATCTCTCCCCTCGTTCCCCCTCTCCACCTCCCTCTCCGCCTCTCTCTCACCCACTCCATCCAAGCGCCACGGGGAGGGTGGGGCGCCAGAGGGGGGGAGCAGCAGAGGGCCGGGGGACCACAGCAGTGTGGCGCGGGGGAGCGGTGTAGCTGCTGCTGAGTCGAATCCCCTGCTGCTCTCCTCTTCCCCGCCTTCCCTCCCCCGCTCCTCCCCCTGCACCTCCACAACATCTCCATCTTCTGACGCGTCAAGGCCTTGCGCACTCACACACCCCCTCCTCTCCCCCGCCCCCACCCCATTCAGGAACAGCACTCGCTTCTCTGCTCCGCTTGCCCCCCTGCTGCTGCTCTGCCCCTTCCCTCTCACCTCCCCCGTACCAGCAGCACCAGCACCAACCCCTCTTGCCACACCAGCAGCCGCCACCACCCCCACTCGCCGCCTCTGCTTCCCCTCACCACCACTCTCCACATTCCTCCCTCCCACCACCCCTTCCTCTGCCCTCTCCCCTCCCGCCTTCCCCTTCTCGCCCACCCCCCCTCCCGCCTTTCCCTTCTCGCCCTCCTCCCCTGCCCCCTGCCCTTCCAGCAGTCTGCTGCTGCGTCTCCTCCCCCCCACCTCAGCCAGCCCCAGCGGCCCATCATTGCCTGCAGACCCAGAGCGGCCCACAAGAGGAGAGAGGGAGAGCAGGCTCAGCCTCTCCAACTTGAATGTCGACCGGTGGGCTGCTCCTCGCGCTGACAACCGGGCTGCCTGCTGCTGCTGCTGCTGCTCCTCCTGCTGTTGATGCTGCCGGTCCTGCTCCTCCTCTTGCTCCTTGCGCTCCTGTCGTTGCTCCGCCCGCTGCTCTGGCTCCTCCAGCTCCTGCTGCTCCTCCTTCCCCGCCCACTGCACCTGCTGCTGGCTAACAGCTGAGACAACACGCGCTGATACCTCATGACACGCGTTCTCTTCCAATGCAGAAACCGCTGCTGTGGGAACTCGTAGTTCTGCTGATGGTGCTGCTGCTGCTGCTGGTACTTCCGATGGTGCTTGTGTCGAAGCAGCTTGCCCCCCAACAAGCCTCTCCCCAGCTGCCAGCGAGGCAGCCTCAACCATGAGTTCGTCCTTCACACATGCCAGCAGCGACCGCTCTCGCGACACAGCCTCTGTGTGGCACACATGCATGTGAGACGCACGGCCCTCCGACCCATGTGTCTGTGCCACATGCCCGTGTGACCCACGCGTGAGCATGGCATGCCTGCAGCTGCCCTTATCCGTCCCCCCTACACTGCCTGATGCGGCCGCTCCCGCTGACACGCCATGGCTGCTGCTCCAGCTGTGCGAGGCAGAGAGAATCAAATCCACGCCACTGCTGCTCTCCATCTCGCCACTCCCTCCAGCGCCACTGGAATGCGCGCCATCTGCACCGCTCTCAACACCCTCGCAACCTGCTCCATTCCCTCCCACACCCCCCACTGCCCCCACATCCCCCATGTCTCCCATGTGCCCCACGCCTGTCATGCCAAAGTCACCATGCACCTCTCCCCTGCGCCCCATGTCATCATCCACTGGCCCTGTGTCCATGCTGCCCTCCCCCCCACTCTCACTGCACCCCCTCTCTCCCCTCCGCCGCTCCACCCTGCGCCGCTTGTACTGCGTCCCCCATATAGGCACTTTGGTCCGCCCCCCTAAAGACATGGTATGCACACCCCCCTCTGCTGTTGCGACCACTGGAAGCACCGCTGCTGCTGCACCAGGCGTTAGCACTGCTGCAGGCGCTGCAGTTGCTGCTGCTGCTTCTCCTTCTCCCACCGCTCCTGCTGCCCCTGTTTCTGCCATCTCTGCTGCTCCAGCAGCATCTGGCTGCAACGGGGGCACATGCACGTCCCTACCACCACGCACCACTCTCCCTGCTGCTCCTCCCTCTGCCCCTGCACCTGCCGTTGCTACAACCCCTGACACTGCAGCGTCCGCAATCATCCCTGCCTGTACCCCACCAACATATGACTGCAGCGGACCGCCAACAGCCAACACACCAGGTGTCTCTACCCCCACCGCTCTCCCTCTCTCTGCCAACCCCTCCCCTCCACCTGCCTGTGCCAACAACCCCGCA